GTAGTAGTAGTAGTAGTAGTAGTAGTAGTAGTAGTAGTAGTAGTAGTAGTAGTGTTATCATCATTATCATCATCATTATTGTTATTATTTTTATCTCTCAGAAAGCCTATCAAAAGAGACTAGACTGTTTGAAGAAACTATCAAAGACCAATTCAACTCAAAATTCCACCCCAGTCTTGTATACTTTCATTTCTTTTTTTTCTTTCTTTTTTGTTACTATTTGTACACCATTTTTGGGACGATGTATTTGACCCTGCTTACAATAGAATATTTTTAAAAAATCAGATGTTAGAAACTGTGGATGTGGCTGACATCATCGCCATGTACGTATCTTAATCAACGGGGTGAATATTTGTGTCTTTGTTATCGTGTGTGGCTGTCTTATCGAGTGGAACTTTATCATCATTCCCTGACACATCTTTAACGTGACGCTGAATGTAGCAGTCAAACCTGCTCTAACGGCCACCTGTCCAAGACAACCACCTTACAATTGACCGCTTCGCGTCACCCCTTCTTGGGTTTTTAAAAAATAAATTGTAATGGCACTGTCCAAGACACTCGTCTTCCTATGACAACAACCATTCTCCTCTACAGTGGTAGCCGTCTTGGCTAGTTTCGACCAATTCGTATCCCTATAATATTATTACTTTCACTCCGCAAAGTGTGGGGGTGGGCGGGTGGGCGGGTGCTGTTTGCTCCTTCTTCCCTATCAAACGACTATCGTCCATACCTTTCTTCCTTCCTTTCTTGGGGGATTTTCTGTTGAACCAGAAACTACAAAATTCCTTTTGAACCAGTAAAATAGGGGTCCGTTCTAGACCAGTTTTAGACAGTTTTGGAGCTGTCTTCCGCGACTTCTGCCTTTAATTTTGGAATCGTTTTTTCGAGTTGTCTCTTCCTTTCTCCAAATTTTGCAATTTTTGAAAAAGATAAAAATCTGCGATCCAGAAGGCATGTTGTAAATTTATTGACCCTTCTCACCATGGGGAACGAAATCAGGACTTCGAGCAAGATAAATACATAATTATTTTAAGTTTTATACTGGTTTGCCGCTAAGTTATATATTTCTTTTATTTTCCCGTTTCTGATATGTACACCTTTGAACCACCTTTGAAAGCGTAAATCGGTCCCCACCAACTATGGACAGTTCACAAGCAAAGTTTACATACAGAGAACAAAAAGAACAAATCAGTCAGGTGTGTCGGTAGATTTGAACTTTAAAAATTTCTATTGACCAACTTGAATTTGATGTCAATATCAGATCTAGATTCTAGCTATAATCGTCCCTTATCGCGATAACCACTTGGCGAACAATTAATTTACCGGTTCAACTGGTCCCAAAGGGATCGGCCGGGTATTTCGTAAACTGGTCCAAAAGGGATGCAAACCGTTTTTTGTATATTTCTCTCTTAAATATAGATCTAGTTACTTTTCTAATCTAGTTACATTTTTAACCTTCGGCACTATTTTTGCTTCGAGTGCAGCAGAACTCAGCTTATTATTAAATCTAAAACATCACGCAGTTAGGGCAAAGGGCACATACTATTTCTGTAATCAGAGAAAAGGCCGCTTTTCTAACCCCTCTTCATGCTCTCGCCGCTTGAGTTCAGATGGACAGCCAAGCTATAATAAGTGCCTAAAGACAAGTAAGTACAAAATTGTCTGTCTGTCTGTCTGTCTGTCTGTCTGTCTGTCTGTCTGTCTGTCTGTCTGTCTGTCTGTCTGTCTGTCTGTCTGTCTGTCTGTCTGTCTGTCTGTCTGTCTCTCTTTGTGCGTGCGTGTGTATGTGTATGTATGTGTGTATATGTATGTGTTGTTGTTCTTGTTGTTGTGTTGTTGTTGTTGTTGTTGTTGTTGTTGTCGTTGTTGTTGTTGTTGTAAATGTATGGGGGCGGTTTTGATGGGGGGGGGGGGAGTGAGGTATCGATGGGTTTTACAGTTTTACAAACCACGAGTCAATGCGCTTTACAATGATTACTGTTACTACTCCAACAGACCCTATAACACTCAGAAACATCCCTGAAGTCCCAGGAAGCACACGGTGCAAGCAGCTGATTACACACTAACAAACTGACAATATCTTTCGCCGTCTATAGCTAGGTACCAATTCCCTGTTGGGTAAGTGAGGCAAATTCGTGTAAAGTAGTGCCTTTCCCATGGACACAATGGTGGTCCCCTGGCGAGGTTCGAACCCATGGCTTTTCAGTTGCGAGACTTGCCACTAAACCGTCGAAGCCACTAAAATGATGCGGGGGAGGGGGTAGTTAATAATAATAATAATAATAGATAGCATTTTTATAGCGCATATCCCCGCTCAACAGCAGGCTCTATGCGCTTTACACTATATTATTACCCCAGCAGACCATGGAACACTCCGAAACATTCTCAGCTTCCCGGGAAGCATACAGTGCAAGCAGCTGATTAAGCGCTCAAACACTAACGAACTGACAAGATCTGTCGCTGTCTATAGCCGGGTACCTATTCCCACCTGGGTGAAGTGAGGAAAATTCGTGTAAAGTGCCTTTCCCAAGGACACAACGTCGGGTCCCTGACGGGATTCGAACCCACGACCTTACGGTTGCGAGTCCGAGAGCCTAACCACTAGGCCACCGAAAGTGCAAGCAAAGCAGCTAGGAGGAAGAATAGGACTCAAGAACTTAAAGAGTGCCACCCTTAAACAGCCTACCCAAAAACATCCCTGACGGATATCAAGGTTCAATCGATCACATGGCACCTTGTCCCTGAGTCATTCTTGTCAATGACCTACAACAAAGGCAAGCGTGCCACTTAAATGTAACACTTATTGCACGGATGGGCAAACTAGGGCATGCGGGCCAAATGTAGTCCTCCTTGAGAGTTTTGCACGGCTTGTAGACACATGTGAAAGTGATATATATTATTGATAACGATAATAATAATAATAATAATAATAATAATAATAATAATATATGGCATTTATTTCCAGCGCTCAAAACCGATTAAAGTATATATTATTGTACTCTGATCGCTTTACAACAAACCTGTAGCCAGTACATTGTGTTCAGACCAACAGAAAATCTCTCGAAATTGTATTTCATTGATTTAAAAGCAATCCAGACCGTACGTTATTATATTATTATCAATATGCCCCAGCTGAGACTAACTTTTGTCGTTTCGTAGCATGCGCTTAACAATCTGTATTACATATACCATTACCCTAGCAGACCCTAGAATTCTCAGGAAGCATACAATGCAAGCAGCCTTTTAAGTGCTCAAGCTTTAACAAACTGGCAAGAAGAGGTCCTTTTTATTGTTCATGACTCAGCCGAAGGGGCTTCCTATCCGAAAACCTTGCCCATCCCTGACATAATAGTATTGTATAATGACATATCACATAAATGTATCAACTGCATCACTTAACCCCTGAAGTTTTAAGATTAGCTGTGATCTTATCGCTTCTCAGTTCAGCCAGCTGTCAATGTTTCACACTTACACAACAGTTGATGAAAAGCGTGAGACTGATATTTCTGCTGGGTATTTTATGATGTTTATGATCACACTCAGCAGGGCCGAGTGAAGTGTGACTGTTCTCCAGGATTGTTTGTTCATCCGTGAGTGCTGATGTTTTTTGGTGTTTTTTTTTTTGGGGGGGGGTATGGTTATAGAAGTTATTGGTGAGTTTTAGACAATATCTAAAGGACAGTAGCTGTCGCTGATGCTCTGTGTCATCATCATCATCATCATCATCATCATCATCATCATCATCATCATCATCATCATCATCACCAAGACCACTCTACAGCTTCCACTCCGTCCTCAACAGAGTACCGATACAACAACATCATCAGCAACATCAACAACAACAACCACAACCACGCGCAACAATGTGGAAGAATGTGACCTCCGTGTCTTTCCTCCTCGGCCTTCTCAGCCTGCTGTCTTTAGCTGCCGGAGTGAGAAAGGGTCCCTATGACGTCATTATCCAGAGACTTTTCCAGAAAGTTGCCGAAGAACAGGTAATGACTTTGTGGAAACTGACGCCCCCTTCCCCCCACCCACTCC